ATTTCAGCTAAAAATTTTCATCAAATTGTAAACTACATTCTCACTTTGTCTGAATTTTAAAACATTTTTATTGTTTTCGGTCGGTTTTGCATTATTTCATTAATTTTGTAATTCATTTATTCATTTGTTCGATCATATTATTTGACATTTTGTGTGGGAATTTCGGGCATTTATTCGCGGGAAGTAAATTTAATTGGCAGGATTATATTCAATTTCTTAGTGTATATACCTCAGAGAATATCAAGGCAAAATGCCCTTGCACAGTGATAATAACAACTATACATGTTGCGAACGATTGACCGGAAGGCGAGAGAAGGGGAGATGGAGAAAAAAGTGAGAAATAAAAATGCTGTTGGACCGAAACTGGACCCTGACAGTGTGGGGAACTGGTTTCATGGCGACGCATACACCGAATGTTGAGACGATCAACACTGCTGGAAAATTTCAGGTTAAAGTTGTATGAATAAACTTCAGTTAGGTCGTTGAGTATAACGAGGAGAAACAAATTCAAAAAGCCAAAAAAATTGTTCATTGATAATTTTTGATCATTTTAATTTTTTGAGAAATTAAATTCTAATTTGATATGGCGATGAGAGTTACTGGAAGTCATAAACATTCAGACGCCGTTACATTCAATTTTCAATTTGTTTGCAAATTTCATTTGTTTTTATTTGTTGAATATAAAAAACTCGATTGTCTTGAATTTCCAATGTGCATCGGAAATTTAATGAATAACTTCACCGAAAATCAATGATTAAAAATAGGAAAAAGCGCTGTTGATTTATTTATAAGAACTTTAATCTTAAATTAACTTTAAATTAATGTTCTACAAATAAAATCCTGATTTTTTTTCAATAAAAACTTCCTTGAAATATTTAAAAATAAATAATTAATTAATCAATTAAAAACAAATAAAATGAGAAAGGGAATTTTAACTAGATTTTGTTAATAATTTTTTTTTCAATTTTCTCATAAAATTCAATAAAAATTTGTATTTTGCAAATTTAATCATCAATTCCATTTAATTTCCAATCTTATTCCAATCCCCACATGTGTTGCCTAGGAAAAAACACGATCTCCTATCCCTAACCCTTCGAGCGCGTCTGACCCTTTAACGATCGCAAATAGAAAAATGCTGCCACCGACATTTTTGCAGGAAATTCAATACTCTGCGAATTACGAGCGAGGAGTTTCATCGTATCTGTCACTGTTTCGTCAACGTAGAGCAAAAAAGCCGAAAAAGCCAATTGTTTAAAACAATTTTCTAGCGATTTGGCCCCCCAAAATCCCAATATCTGTATTCATATCATTTTTCCGCATAATATTCTACAATATTCGTGCGTCCTTCATCATTGTGAATTCTCAAATCGTAGTTGACTGGAGGCCCTTTGCGCTCTGAGTTTACTGCAGGCCGTGCTTAGGGGAGGGGCAGGACGGATGTTCTATGAATACCTACCAAGGATAAAACCCTGCCTCTTTCTTCGTTCGATTTTCTATGGGAGGCTTCATCACCCGGAATTATCATGACACTACAAATTAAACTAAGAGCAAAAGAATGTACGAAATAACATTCCGAGTAAATAATAAAAAACATTTCCGCTGTTGAAATATTTCCGAGTTCTCAACCCATTGAAAATGCAGTGAAATAAAATATCCCATTTCCACAATGCGTTTGAAAATTCAAGCGGTTATTGGAATTTCAAAGATCGCTCGACACGAATAACTCATTTTTGTTGATTTTTTTAAATTAATGAAAAATTCCATAAATGATTTAATCTCAGATTTAATTTGAAGATGAAACCTTGTCTTTTTCTTCGTTCGATTTTCTATGGGAGGCTTCATCACCCAGAATTATCATGACACTACAAATTAAACTAAGAGCAAAAGAATGTACGATATAACATTCCGAGTAAATAATAAAAAACATTTCCGCTGTTGAAATATTTTCGAGAGTTCTCAACCCATTGAAAATGCAGTGAAATAAAATATCCCATTTCCACAATGCGTTTGAAAATTCAAGCGGTTATTGGAATTTCAAAGATCGCTCGACACGAATAACTCATTTTTGTTGATTTTTTGAAATTAATGAAAAATTCCATGAATGATTTAATCTAAAATTTAATTCGAAGATGAAATCTTGTCTCTTTCTTCCTCCGATTTTCTGTGGGCGGTATTGTCACGCAGATTGATCACGGAGAAAAAAATTGCGGCGAAAGTACTACGGAAATCACATAAAAATTAGGATTCAACATGTAAAAATTAAATTTCAATCCATAAAATTTCCAGAACTGAAGAGAGAAAATGAATCTTCCGGTCCGCATGTTTTCCGTGTTTTCCGGCTTACGTTTTTTTCCTACATTTCTCTACTTTTCTCTACATTCTGCCTCAAAATTGTCCCTGAAGTTTTTCCCCCCCCAAATTACCACGACTCCTCAAATTGAACTAAAAGCAGAATCTCCGATATACCATCCCTGATAAATAATAAAGAAACCTTTTCCCCGTCGAAATATTCCCGAGGTTTCATTCTAAAACGGGATTATACCTGTAGCGGACTCCGGCAAGATTTTTCGGACAAAAGGTATTCCCGGTTTTCTAGCTCAGTATGGCTGAAAGAAAGAGCTACTCTACCTTTGTAAGATACATAATACCCCGAACAAAAGACGTGCCCCGAAGTGGGAGATTCACCGAATTGCGGAAATTGCCTCCATCTGTTTTCCCCGGGACGACAATTCAAGACTCCCGACAGTGAAATTCCGAGGATTCTCCGGAAAATGGGAAGATCACGTCGTCATGAATGGAATAAACCGAAAAAAAATCGCTGACCTCGTCTCATATTCTCTGCGAAAAAAAAAACGCGAGACCGATATTTTTTCACCGCTCGCAGCAGAATGCAGATATTTGAGAAGTGCATCTCATTTGCATGCGATACAATTACTATCCCTCAACAGACATTAAAATAGACGGAGATTCGAAACGCGATGATGTATCGACTCACCATGACTCCAGAAATCGATCAACTAAAGATGCAAAAAATTGTAATCCAAAGTGATGGGCTATTCCGATGTAAATCCAATGCTTGAATGCACCCCACTGTCACAACACACAGCATCAACTGCACTTTGAGATGAACTTTTACACTGAGCACTCTAATCCACAAGTGAGCAGAACATTTTAAAGGATTTCCTTGCGCCAGAGGAAACCCTTGCGCCACCGGTTAGTTCTCTTGTTTTTAATACTGAACGGGGATTTATTAATTGTGAAAATTCAAGTGTATGTTTCGCGAGATTACAAATGTTGCCTCTTGCCGCGGCCGGAGTGGTGCCTAGCCGGGCGACAGAACGGCAGCAGTGCGGCGCAACAAGTGATCCGTAGGAGAGGAGAGACGCAGGAATCCGTAATAGTTCAGAGTTCAGTCACGCTTCTTAGGAGATGATGGCGCTGGCGGGCGTGTCATGCGTCTTTTCGTCAAATTTGAACAGTTTCGATGCGGTGACAGTAGCTACACTGTTCGAGTCGTTCATAGTGAGTCATCGAAATGTAGGGAACAGTGAGGGGCATTTTAGCGCAAGTCATTTTTTAAATATTTTTTTACTTTTTTCATTGATAATGAATGAAGAGGCGATTGATCGCAGCGCGGTATTAGGCGTTTTGAAGATCGCGTTATCATCATTTTTGAAAAAGAACTTCAATTCCTCAGTCATTGGCGGTCATTAAAACGATTTTACTAATTAATCGAATTAATTAACAACAATAGTATGTCGACAAATTGCCGATCTCCTGTTAACCTTTAGATGGCATTGGCAAAAATTGTTTTCTGGGAAGTGGGAAATTCCTCTTGTATTGCATATATCATAGTTATTTTTGCTAATAATCCGAATGGTTATTTGGCACATCATTTCCTTCTGTCGTACATAATTTATTGTTTATTTCATTTTATTCAGTTGAATGAGATTTCTTTTTAACTAACTTTGTCAGATTTTCAAATTAGTTGAATGTTATCGTCATCATTATTCTTATTATCCTTTCTTCTGTAAAAACGATTGTCTTTTTTACGGTTCTATCTCTCCCCTTAGCCCTTCGATAACATGCTAATAGAAGAATTTTATTTATACATGAATGAATTGGAACCATCACATTTGAAAAAACCATCAGTAAGCTCACTTTTCAGGGAAATTCATGAAAAATTCGAAATTTTCAACAATGATTATAAAAATCAAATCAACCAATATAGACTTAACAGCATTAAAACAAATATTTTAAGCTATGATTGAATTCATTTGAAGCATGATATTCAAAGATTTTCCCGGAATTCCAATTTTCAAAAAATACAAAATTTTTGCAGATTTTCAAGTAAATCAAAATAACGATTATTGCTATCGCACAGAGAAAAAAATGATTAGCTTTAAAAACTCTTGTTAAGCTTTATACTTGATGGGATCATAAAAACTAACGAATTTGGGAATTGATTTTAAGAACAAACATTCTCAAAAACCAATGCTGAATTTTTCTTTATTTTAGAAAATTTTCAGATTGAACTAAAAAATTGCGGCTGAGGTATTTAAAGGGCATAAGTGCCCCATACATAGGGAGGGGTGTCCAAATATTTCAGAGGGAGTTTCAGATGTGAAGGGTTGGCGGGGGGAGCGGGATTTATATATGAGAATTTTTTAAGGGGGGATTTAATTGATTGGGAGGAGAGGTCTATATGGGTGATTTTATTCATAGTAAGGAGGCTCGTGTATTAGATTAAATAAAATTTTGAACCTCGCTCGTGTATCAGGGGATAGAAAATTTTCAAAATTTTCAAAATTTTCAAAATTTTCAAAATTTTGGCTTCAAGCATCGTCTACTGCCAGACTGCCAAAAATTATCATAGTAGCGGGATTTTTTGGAAGAGGCAGAAAATCGAATCGATTGAAGTTGCTGAGAATTTCGCTGAGAGCGCCGATGCTGCTATAAATGATAAAAATGCCATTTTTTATGATGCATAATAGGAAACTCTTTATTATTGCAACCATTATACAAATATCGATCAACTTTATGATAGAATATGATAGAATATCGCGCTCCGCAGAATGCCAGCTTCAATATTTCTCCTTCATCACTTAGCCAAGACCGACGGATTAACGACACCCGTCACAGTGTATTTAGCTGACTTCCCGGAGATGGCGACGAACTGCTCGGCGATTTCAGCCGCGACCCGCTGCTGGGCCTCGGCAGTGCTGGCGCCGAGGTGCGGAGTCGCAATGACATTAGGGTGTCGAATCAATTCGAGGGTCACCGGATTTTTCGGTGGCTCCTCGCTGAAGACGTCGAGAGCAGCGCCCGCACATTGGCCAGACTTCAAGGCCTGGAGGAGCTCCTCCTCGTTGACAATTCCACCCCGCGCTACATTGATCACGCGCACTCCCTTCTTGCATTTTGAGAGACTCGCAGTGCCGATCAAATCTGCGATGAAGAATATGAATTTTTTAATTTTTAAAAGATGGAGAATATCCCAGGCAGGAGTTATATAGGCTGACGATGGAAACAAGCCTGTGCGAGCCTAGGTTTGGCGAGGGTCAGTGACTCAGGCCTGGGACGGGCTTGATTTCATCGTTCACTCGAGCCTGAAATGAGGGCGATTCAAGGGGCCATTGTCGAGGTTCAATTCAGGCCTAGCCCAGGCTTTGAGTATTGAGGCTCAGTACGTCAAGGCTTATTCGAGCCTCTGCAAGGCCTCAAAAATGAAAATTAGTCTCGATTACATTTCTTAATTTTTAAAGGACCATATTTAGGCTTTTTTCGGGGGAAAGTCTACTTTCGCCAAAATCGAATTTTTCCGCCGAGTGAACGTTGATTCTGTATTTTTTGGCCCGCCTAATGCCACTGAGACCCTCACTTGCCCCAGAAATGCGGAAATAAAAAAAATTTCTTTTTCACCCGGAGCCAAAGTGCCATATTTAGGCTTTTGTCGGGGGGAAAGTCGACTTTTGGCAAAGTACTTGCCACTTACTTTTTGTCTGCGGAATGAGGGGAGTGTGAACCGTTATGTAATCAGCGACTGGCCAAATCTCCTCGAGGCTGAGTTTCGTGGCTCCAACGCTAGCAGCATCTTGAGCGCTAATTATTGGATCAAAGCACACAATCTTCATCCCGAAGGACTGCATTCTGAGGCCAACTTCTCGTCCCACGCGACCGAAACCGAGGACTGCCAATGTTTTTCCGTATAATTCAAAGCCCGCGTACAACTTTCTGTCCCATCTGCCTTCCTTCATGGATTGAGCAGCTTGGGCGACATTTCTCGCCAGCGAGGAAATTAGGGCGCATGTTAGTTCACACGCACTGATGCTGTTACCACCGGGAGTACTGAGGAGAGAGAAAAAAAAGAATTGGACATATAATTTTGATATTGAATTTTGGTTTCCGTATACACAGGTACAAGATTTTAATGCTTAAATATTTTTAAAAAATTGAAAAATTGATCAAATTGAAAAAGGCATTGCCCGAAAAGTCAGTAGATTCAAAATCACAGTTTCTGTTTCAATTTCATTTTTTTAAAGCACAAATTTTGAAAACCCTGGTTTAATTTACAGTCTCGTGAATAAAATGAAATAATTTAGGCTACTTCGGTTGCAAATAAAGACTAAATAACAACTGATAAACAGAAAAAAACGAATTTCTTGCGAAATTATCGTTTTAATCTGAAAATAGTATGAATAAACTCCAGTTGAGTCGTTGAGAGTAACGAGGCAAAATAAATCCACGAAGACCAAGCAAAAATTATTCAATTTTTTTAATTCTAAATTTAACGAGCGGAAGAAATTGGTCATTCAAATTCTTTCTTCAATTCTTTTTTTCAAACAACATCTATGTTTATACTACTTTAATGACAGATTGTTATTAAAGTAAGACCTAGAATTACAAAACTGAGACATAAAAAAGTTATTCCCCGAAATTCTAAGCTTGTGCAAAATCCTCAATGTTGAATATTTTTTAATACAAACTTCAATACGACGATTCCCTTCTTCGTGGCAGCCTCAACATTAATATTATCAACTCCTGTCCCAGCGCGCCCTATAACGCGGAGGTTCGTTCCCGCTGCAATCACCTCCTCCGTCACTTTCGTCTCGGACCTCACGATTAAACCTCCATAGTTCTAAATCAGGGAATTTATGCATCTTGAAAAGACTCTTATTAATTTTCGAAAATGCGTGGTTTGCCCTCACGTGATAGTGTCATTAAATACCTTAATCTCTTGGATCAGTTCATCCTTGGGCAATTTGTACTTTGTCGTGACTGCGATGCCATGGCTCTTCAATAGATCGATGCACGATTCATCGACGGGATCACTGATCAGCACGCTCTTCAAATTTATCGACATCCTTCAACTGAAAATGACAATTTCTTGTATATAATTCAACTATAAATCGCACTTTTTAAAAAATGCGCAAATCCCAGAAAATTCCGCGGCTTTCTAGGGAATTCGAAAACATTATTCATTCGTGTAGGAGCATAGAGAGGAAAGTTGGATAAAAATTATACAGAAAATCGCGGTAAATTTTGCCGTAAGGAAGGTAATCGTGGAGCGAAATTGTAATTCAATAAAAAATATTTTTACGAAGGATATCTCACGATTCGTTCGGTAAAAAAACGCACGTATCAGGTCAATAGTATTTTATTCTTTCATTGGGATATTTTCTACAGAAATTCCTCAACTTAAATTTTCTCACTTTCTTCGTCCGTTTTTTTATAATGGAAATTGAGAAAAGAGAGTGGAAAAGATTTATCTCGAGGAGTTTCTACAGAAAATACTTGAATTGTAGAATAAAATTGTACAGAAAGATGAAATTTCATTGAGTTATTCTGTAAAATAGTTTCTATCGAACATTCTCTAGTGAAAAAAAAACGCGCGGAAAAAAGTTTTCACTAAAATCGGCGAAAAACTAAAACGCCTCTCCACGAATTTCAAAAATCACTGGAAACATGAAAAAATAATAATTTTCCATTACGCTTGAATTAAAAATGGAATGAATACAGGTGGTTTCAAGGCACGTGATGAAGTTTCAATCGGAGAGGCGCTCCAGTACCCAGACGAGTGACTACCTGCTTCGTCCTTGAAAATTAGCTCTATTTACCCAGCATATTTACCAAACCCAGAGAAACTAATACCTCACAAAAAAATCAATGACATTCTATTAATGAACGACTCCCCAACAAGACATGCCTCCAACCATCAAAATTAATTATTACGATTAGTTTTAAATAATTGAACACGATGAGATCGAATAAAAATCAACTTCTACTTTCGCCACGTTCCAGCAATCACCCAATGCACATACAATTTCAAAATCAGTGATTTCACAATTGCCGGAGGCAAACCCGTTGGTTTCACAATTCAAAATGAAATTAATATAACGTATAAATTATGAATACGATCCTTACGACTGTTGAAATTATATCGCTGGACAGGAGAACACAGGACAACGACCTTTCAACGAATGACCGGTTTTTCATCCAAGTTTGACTTCGCGTTTGACTTCGCGTGATGATGGCGCTGCGCATCATTCTCCAAACGCAATTGACTTTTAAATTGACTCAATTGGAAACTCGTGTCTTTGAATTAGAGTCGTCGCTCTCCCAAATAATTAACAGACGCCGCTTGAGGGAAATAGAAAAATGAGAATTTTATTCGTTCAAATTCACGATTAATTATCCACGTTTGGGGGGTAATACTGAATTCCCTCGAGTCTCACAGAATTATTTAGATTTTTTTGTTGCAGTTGAGAGTGGGAAAATCGTGTTCTTTCATTTCCTTTCTCCTTTGTAGAAAATGAGAACTCGAACATGGCGGGCTTCTTGAACGAATGGAGACACGTATGAAAAAATCGTATAGAAAGTTTCTATACGATTTGCGTATAGAATTTCTATAGGTTTTTCGTATATGATATTCGGATATTTCTATACAAAAATTCCCTATACGGATTATTTCTATACGAATACGTGTAGAAATTCGTATAGAAATGAACCGTATAGGAAATTTATACACAGTCACAGACAGCTATACACAGTCCGTATAGAAAGATTCTATGCGATTTTTTCCTACGTGGAATGGAAGGCGGTTTTCATGAGTACAATCGTCTTGCGTAGAATTTTCATGAAGCCCGTCTAACAAAGAAAAGAGAATTGAATATCATCCTATGAAGCATGAATAAGCGAATCATAATTGTTCAAATCATTTAGGTCAGATGAAAATATAATAATTCTGCTTTCTAAATATTGCGTTTACTAAGGTTTTCTTCAAACAAAGTTGATTTGAATTAATCGCTAGAATTATGAGATTATCTCACATTTCTGACGCTGAGGATAGGAAAATCTGAATGCATTATAGTGAAAATGATTGATTGATGAATGGAATAAAATTTATTTTTAACGAATTTTGTCAGATTTTTAACTTAGTTGAATATTATCATCATCGTTATTCTTATTATCCCTTTCTTCTACACAACCGATTGCCTTTTTTACGGTTCTATCTCTCCCCCCAGCCCTTTGATAAAATGTTAACAGAAAAATTTTATTTATACATACTTAAATGAATTTGAAACATCACATTTAAAGAAATCGTCAGAAAGCCCACTTTCAGGAAAATTCATGAAAAGTTCGAAATTTTCAAATAAATCAAAATAACGATATTGCTATCGCCTTCATGTTCGAACCCGGTCAGAAGGACATCCGAAGAAAATTTTTAAGTCATCTTGCAATCAATGCAGAACATTTTTTTAGTTATCCTGGGACAACCGATTTTCGAATTAATTCAAAAAGTACAAAAACTAATCGATGAATTAAACTTTAATTAATGGCGATTGATAGAGCTCAACAATACCTACATTCAAAAAAGAAAAGATTCAATTCCATCCATTCATTAGCGAACAATTGAAGCAAACGATGTCTAAAAATTGTGTTTTCGGACTTTTTGAATTATACTGACTCGACATAACAGAAAAAATCCATAACTTAAATTTTAACAATAACAAACCATCCATTGGGAAGCAAAAAATTGAATTCATAGTAATTATGATTGGAATCATAGCATATGAATTATGCGATGGGCAAATAATTTATTGTAATATGAAAATTCAACGGTTGATGAACCCGGACTTATCATTCTCATCGGTCGTATTGCTTTGTGCGATGTGAATGATTATAAACAATTAATTGAAAAAAGAGATATCAAATCTGACAGGAAAAAGGGGCATAATGACAGGGAATCACACCCCACCGCAACCGGGGGGTTTCTATTCGCCCAATTGATAAAAATTGTTATCAATCAGCCGAATAGGAACCACGAAAATTCGATGCGGTGGCGCCATCTCTCATGATTCACTAAACATTTCCTGGAATGAATGCTCTTAGCATCAGCCGATCTTGCATTTCTCATCTGTACACAACGGCGGAAAAAAATCATTAAGAATGTCGGTGCATGGGAAAGCAATTGCAGCAACAATCATTGTGATTTTTGCTATCAATTACGCGAAATCCGAGTGTGCAGAGGCAAAGCCATGCCTCTGCGTTCGTCCTGACGGCATGGGGCTGAGTCTAGCGGCCTTGGCTGGCATCGGGTGTGTATTAATACGTAACCTTCGCGCAACATTTTTTAGAAGATCATACTTTATGTACTATATATGTTTATCTGCATTTAAAGGCCTTTGAAAAATGACAATGGTAGTGTAGTCTTTCAACCATGTAAAAATGCGAATTTGACGTTTCCACACTCTGTTGCTCCTCAGCCGCCGGATCCCTCCAATGACTGTCATAATACCTCGGTGAGTATAATTTCATGCATTTTTTGTCTTGTTTAGGCTACGAAACAGTTAGTGTCGAACTTTGGTAATAAATAATTCACGTTTCTGCGTGCCCGAAATAGCGTATTATGTCGAAAATACTCTAGTCAAACGAAAGAGTATTGTTTAAAAAAAGAATTGAAGAAAGAATTTGGACTAATTTCTTACACTCATCAAAGTTGGAATTTTTCATGGGAAAAATTATTAATAATTATTCATGGAATAATTCATGGGAAAAATTATTAATCATACTACTACTTATTCATACTACTTTGACGAGGGTCAAATTATTAAATTTTAAACTTCATTAAAATTTTTTAAATTTGTTCTTTAAATCAACGAAAAATAAATACGATTTTCGGAAGAATTGATGAGATGTTTGATTAGGTGTTCAATAATGCCCTGATTTTAGCTATGCTGGCTGAATAATGACAACAATACTATAAACCTGGGAACAATAGAAGAAACTCACTGGCATTGGTCGGAGAAAAATCCTGAACTGATCATCTCACATGGGTCTCGTGAGTCCCACATCGAGCTGATCTGTGCCAATCGGGGAGATGGACCAATTCTCATCGGACCGAATTCAGCGAACAATTTATTAGTACGTTGACTATATCTAACAATTTTTTTTATTTTGGACCGGCATGGCATGTATGAAAAAATCCAAAACTTGAATTTGCAGCAAAATGAAAGCATCAAGACTTCCGAAATTGTGAAATTTTTTCAAGTTCCAATACTCATAGAAGTCATGTAGGAGTTTCCATAAAAATTGTGTATAGAAATTATCAGAAAATCATATATGGCGGATCTGCAGGATTTCATTCAGAATCGCCATACGAAATGAATATAAATTTTTCAATAAATGCACATCTCTATGCGATTTTTTTATGTGTAGGCTTTCAAGAATAATTTTTCCCGAAAATTGGAGACATTATGTTGAATTGACATTTCAGAAATTTCAATTGTCCTCTGACAAACTCTGCATCACTGATATGAGACCCAAGGCCCTCTCCACAGGCTCAGTCCTCGTTATTCTGTTCTTTGTCTTCACTGGACTGTACTTCATCGGTGGAGCAGCTATTCTGATTTACTGTCGAGGCGCAGTGGGACGAGAAACTATTCCAAATTACGAATTTTGGGCAGATCTTCCCGCACTCGTTAGAGTGAGTTCAAAAAGCAAAAGATTTTTTTCCAAGAAGTTGTGAATAATAATGTCCCTAATTGTTTTCCTATTTGTTATCTATTCTTCGTTCACAGGATGGAGTCACGTTTACACTCAGTGGTTGTTCAGCAGTGAGTTACGAGAGGATATGAAAAAATCTATCACAAATTTTTATTAATTGTTATTGAAAACTTGGGTGAGTACGATTGAAAAAGCCTAGTCGTTAACTAGTAGCGTTTGGAGGACTCAAATATTTCTCGAATATTTCGTGCTTAAAGTGTGAGGAAAGCAAAGCCTTCCAAGTATTGATATATTTTTTCACATTCGTAATTAAGGCTCTCTAGATTTTTATAAATTTTACACTGGTATTAATTACGAAACACCAATGTTTAGTTTATTTTCAACCTTGTAAAGTTGTATTCATGTAAGGGAGTTTGTGGAATTATGATAAAATAAAATATAAATTCAACTTTCACATTTTCATGTTATTTGTATTTATCTATCATACAAAATGTCGGTATTGAATCATTTTAAGAATACAAAAATATAACATAAATTTATAGAAACATAAAATCATACAAAAATATGAATGGAGTTTTTTTCAATATTTTGTCCACGTGATTACAACAATTCACGAAGCTCGCAGCAATTGAGTAAAATAAATAATGAAATTGCCGCGAACTAATGGGGAAATGTCGGTCACCAATTATAAAAATACTGAAACTTGACGAACAATGTTTTAAATAATCATTGCGCTAAAGTTGTGAAACTAGTGAGCTTCCTCACTTTTTAATAAACCTCGATTCCTTCAATTGGAATGGTAACGTCCTGATTCGTCTCAATGGCGAGCCAGGCGCCATTAGCATAAAGACTATTGATGCTGATACCTTTGGAGGAGAAGGCATTGACAATGGTGGCGAGATCCTGTGGTCCATTTGCATGATACAGTGAGATGAAGTCTCTTAGGACAATTCCATTATTGAAAATCGCATCGTCGATGGAAAGTAGGAGAGCTTCATTGTTGCGTACAGTTCCTGGGAAAGAGAATGATATTTTTTTTAGAAAAAGAGCTGGAAATATAATGTATTGAGCGGGCGTTATATCATTTTTTCGCACTGAGAGAAGAACTGAATGCAAATTGGCTAGAAAATCGTGGAAATTTCGTGCATTCATTTCTTATTTGATTCAATAAGAATTAGTTAAATTAAATTCCGTAATTTCGATTAAATCGCGATGTTCACATCTTTGTGAAAGTTTTTTTTAAACAGATTTCGAATTTCGAAAAATCGAAATTTAACAAATATTTTGAAAAAAAGTTCTGAATTGATTGAATGATGGCTTAAAAAAATCGTTTGGATGTCCTTTCGACCTAGTCCGAAGATGAAGGCGATAGCAATAATCGTTATTTTGAATTCCATGAATTTCCCTGAAAGTGAGCTGTCTGATATTTTCTTCAACTGTGACATTTCAAATTCATTGGAGTATGTGTAAAGAAAATTTTTCTATCATCATTTTACCGAAGGGCTGAGGGGAGACAGAACCGTAAAAAAGCCATTCAACAAAATTAGTTGAAAAGAAATCTTGTAGAATTTAATAAAATGAAATAACCAGTGAGTTACACTATCCACTCACCCTTCAGTGAATGCTCTCCAATTTTAACAACGACCATGTCAGCCTCTCCCTCGAGATGAGCCTCTTTAAGATCAATTCCAATATCCTTCGCAAGTGTCGGTGCATTGATAAGATTCAAGCCGTTCTTGGTCTGTCCACTGAGCACACCGAGAAGCACAGCCGTGTGAATAAACTTCTTGCTCTGCATTCCAGCTCCAACAGTTCGACTTTCGATTTGCGCTTTAACATTTTTGTTGAGGAATCTCGCTGCCAATTGGCCGAGCCTCTTCGACAGCTCGATCCAGGAGCCATTGTCACCCGACATTGCAGCTGAGAGAATCGGCGCATTGACAATACCCGTGACCCTATATTTGTCAGTGATGCCGGATATTGCTAGGAATTGTTCTGCTATTTCAACGGCAACGCGCTGCTGGGCTTCCGCTGTGCTAGCACCGAGGTGGGGTGTTGCAATAACTTTTGGGTGTTGAATGAGCTCGAGAGTTGTCGGATTTTTCGGTGGCTCTTCCGCAAATACGTCGAGGCCAGCACCACCACAGTGGCCCGATCTCAGGGCTTCGAGGAGCGCTGCCTCCTCTACGATTCCCCCTCTCGCTACGTTTATTATTCGGACTCCCTTTTTGCATTTGCTGAGGGTCGTTGCGTTTATCAAGTCTTAAAAAGAAGGGAAAAGATCATTTCAGACATCACTCAAAACCAGGGATAGGCAATATTAGATTTTGCCAATGTTAAAAAGGAATATCTCGTTATATTGTTTCAAGTTTAACTATATTTAACAAATTAAAAGCATTTATTATCTCAATTTATATACATTATTCTGGATAAGTTGTGTACTGATATGTTGTAATGTTAACTGAAGGGGAGAGGGACGGGAACACAATGTAAAAACCCGAGAGGGTATACATGGAAAATACAACTAGCTCAATTTTTCGATTGATGGTGAATAAAATATTTGATAATACTGAAATGCAATTTTTTAGTTACTTAATTATCCAAATAATCGTCAATCTTCCTACCTAAATTATTGGTTGATAGAATATTTCGAAATTTAACATCTTCCTCCCAAGATTTCTCTAATTCACTGAAAAATCGAGAAATTTCCCACATTTTCTGGAGGAAAAAACTCGAAATAATATTTCTGTTTTTGTAAAATCTTCAAAAAATACTTGAATTTTCTGATAAATTGGGGTAATTATTCGGGAAATGCAGGGGAAACAAACTGAATAAATGGAAAAATGTCAGACTCACTCTTGGTCTGAGGAATGAGTGGCGTATGCACAGTAATGTAGTCAGCAACCGGCCAAATCTCCTCCAAAGTGAGTTTAGTAGCCCCAAGACTGCTTGCTACGTCGGAACTCAACATGGGATCGAAGCATACGATTTTCATTCCAAATGACTGCATCCTCAGTGCAACCTCTCGCCCAATTCTGCCAAATCCGAGGACTGCCAGTGTCTTACCGGACAGCTCAAAGCCGGAATATAATTTGCGGTCCCATCTGCCTTCCTTCATCGATTGAGCAGCTTGGGCGACATTCCTCGCAAGAGCTGAGATCAGCGCACACGTCAATTCGCAGGCACTTATGCTGTTGCCTCCCGGTGTACTGCAAAGTGCAATTATCATTACAATCCCTTCATGACCTGGAAATTTTTCTAATTTTTTATTTTCAGTTTTATTATTTTTCCCTCCATTTTTCAAAATTGCTTACGCAGAGGAGCGAATATTTCCATTTTTATGAACTCTTCATTGTTTACACTTGGAAAATTTTATTACGTTAAAACCTTAAAATTCTGAATGTAAAAATGACTTGATTTTTTTTTAATAGAATAGAATAGAATTAAATTAAATGAAAATTAATAGAATGGAATAGAATTAAATTGCTTGTTTTTGTAAAGGATTGTTCACTCGTTCAATTAAAAACCCGCAAATTATGAGAAATAAAAAAGCTTCTTTTAAGAACTAAAACATTTGCTGTGATAATTAGAATGAATCCCAAATTTTAATTTCAATTCCAAGTAAATTATGGGATTCTCATCCTCCTGTTGTTCAAAAATTTGTAATTTCACAATTTTTCTCTCCCTATTCATCAAGAATTTTCACTTCATCAATTAAAAAACTGCAACTCATCAAAAATTAAAATAACTCCCTTGCGAATTAAAACATGTTTTCCGTTTTTCGAAAATTAAACAAATTTTTTAATCAAGGAGTATCCCAAATTACAGTTTCAATTAGTCACGATGAAAGACATACTTGAGAACAACAATCCCCTTTCTTGTGGCCGCCAGAAGGTCAATATTGTCCACTCCAGTGCCAGCGCGTCCAACAACTCGAAGATTTGAAGCTGCCGCAAGAATTTCACCCGTAACTTTGGTCTCTGAGCGAACTATTAAGCCATCGTGTTTCTGAAACAATGGATGGAGGGGGTTGCAATTATTAGGGACAATATGATTTATTATTCAACGAGTTTCAAACTAATACGATATTGACCCTATCTATTAGTTCGAAAGTGTCAAGTCAATTTCCATCGCTATTCAGGGGAACATTTCTCCGCACTCTATTACTCTTCAATCAACTCGGCCTCAAATTATGTTATTTAAAGTAGCTCTATCCTTACGGTAAATTCAAAGATTCTTGAACTTATTGAAACTAATTCCTTATTGTTGTTGCACAGGTTTTTTTAAAAATTGCTAATGCATTCGCAACAATTACCATGTTTGTTATATCGACTCGTCACGATACAAAAGTACTAAAATGCAATTTTAAATGAATGAACCTTCGTTACCTGAATTTCCTGGATCAATTCATCTTTCGATAATTTGTGTTTCGTCGTTACTGGAACGCCGTAACTTGTCAAGAGTTCTGCACAGGACTCGTCCACAGGATCACTGATCAGAACACTTCTCAGATTGATTGACATTCTCTATCTAAAAATTAATCAGTATTGAATCGCGTTAATCAGTATTGAATCTGGATCGCATGAGAAATCACGATAACGTAATCTCCAAAATTTCTGAGATATTCAGAAAGCTGGATAAGAAAAGAAGAGACTACGAGTGAAAATTATTATTCGTTATTTATTTAATAGAGACTAACCAGCAAAGGCCAATTGTAGGGTCAAATAATAACAGGATATTTCATAAAACTAATTTACCCTTATATACATAAAATAAAAAATACAGTAAAATAAGATAGTGGAAAGAAGATTAGAATTAAATCATTTTCAATCAGAGCATTGGTAAAAAAATTGGAGAAAATGGTCGGAAGATTGAACATTCGTTCAACTAAATCAAATTAAACATCAAATTGATATCTTCAATGTTAATAAAAATAGTATGATGTAAACAACGATATAAAAATATATTGGAACATGAAAAATAAAATGAAAATATATAGATGAATCAATTAAATTTTTAATTTTCATGTGAATGACAGAATATTTATTGGAATAAATGCAATAATCTGTAATAATAATTGACTCACTTGTGATGTGTTTGGAAAATTCCCTAGAATTTATTCTTGTTCTATTAATTTGTCCGCGTGAAATACCGATAATTAGTCGATTTACTGTGATGAAGCTCAAAGAGAAGCTCTAACGTAACTGATCATCAATTCCCATGCGCCAATTTTTATATGAATCTCCCAGCACCATCCCCTCTACGGTGACACAGTAACGATTTACATTTCGTGCTTCAGCATCTCCGTCACTCATTACGATATTTTCACATTTTATTTTTCTCGGGTGTTACGACAATGGCAAACAATTTCTCAACGCATCACTAACAATCGTCAGACGTATTTACATATTCTGCACTATTTACGCATTTGAAATTTTGAGTCAACAGCGGATTAACTTGATAATGAATCAATTCGTGATTTTTGGTTTACACTGTTAAAAATTTTCGTCTGAATTTTCCGTGCCAAATTCTGGAAAGTTTTATGGTGTTCAAGTTCCACTGAAATTTCAGGAAATCTTGTCATTGAAACATCGAATATTAGATTGATTTTCTGGTCAAATGATCTAGAAATCAATAAAATACTTGATTTTTCAGTTCAACTGTTCTGTGAAAATTCAGGAAAATTCAGGAAAAATTGACAATTTATGGAGTTTTGTTTCTGCATATTCATGTTCCACTGAAAATTCCATCAATTGTGAAATTTCAAAACCATTTTTCCCTTAAATTCGATTCAATGTCACTCTCATGATATTTATTATAATATCTTCCATGAATTTTCAAAAAATTTCTAACAGTGTATAGATCTCTCTCAATCTTACTCATTGAAAAAATTAAATTCTATTGGAGTTCTCTTAGAAATTCTATTTGTTTTTTCCCTGTGCGTTTTTTGAGTGAAAAACATGTATAGAAAATATTTTACAGGACAATTCGATGGATTTTATATTTTTATACAATTAATCCTGTTGACATTGCTTCTATAGAAATTTTCTGGATTAAAATTACCAATTTTTTTCCCTCAAAAAGTGTTACACGTGTCAGATTGCCAATAGTGCGATGGAAATGGAGTGGAATAATTTATGCCAAAACCTGTTATTATTTGAGATAAAGAATAATAATAGAATAGGTGATGCAAATAAAGGAAAATCTATTAAATTTTATCGTACATAAGAATAATAAAATTTTAAAAAAATGCTCCGGATGTCAGATTATCAATGGTGCGATAAACCCTGATTAAAAATGTATGTTATTCCTACCTAGAACGAATTTAATCATACTGAAAACTCCACAATTTTATCTTCTCTGTTTTTAAAAAAATTAAAACTTCAGTAAAAAATATTTTATAGAAAAAAATCAATAGATTTAATACTGTTATAAAATTTTTCTTTGAATGCTTGCATAAAAAAATACAAGACGGAGTGAAATAATTCATGTCAAAAAAATTTATTACTTGAGACAAAAAATAATAACAGTATGAGTCGTATAGAAAAAGCAAAACCTATGGAATTTTTTCGCCCACGTAAAAAATTTAAAAAACATGTTCCACGTGTCAGATTATGAATGGTGTGATGAACACTGATAGAAACTAGAGAGAAAAAATAGTACCCTATTGGAATTCTAGTGGAATCTCCGCGCTTTTTCCTCCTACGCGTTTTAAAAAATGAAAAACTCCAACAAAAAAAATATTTAATAAAAAAAAAAGATTGTTTTGGATTAATTTTTCTGACTTTCTTTACCTCAATGATTGAATAATAAAAAAATTAAGGAAATGGAGTGCAAGAATTTTGGAAAATTTATGTCGCAAAAGTTTATTATTTGATTCAAAAAATAATAATAAAATGAGTCCTGTAGAGAGAACAAAATCTATTAACCTTTTGCGTGCGCATCAAAATTCTAAAAAAACATGTTCCACGTGTCAAATTATCACTGGTGCGATGGACACTGATTAAAAATTCAGGTTACTCCGTTAATATCGTAATTCTCTCAAGGGAGATAGGATCGGGGAAAGTCAATCAACATTTCCCCAATCGGGTGAATTTGACACGAGGCCGCATTATTCCACCGAATAAACAAAAAAATAAACTGTTTCAATGATACGTGGAATGTATTTCACGTCTACGATTTCTTTCCCTACAAATATTTCCAGTGCTAGGGGTCATCTAAGTGCCTCCCGCAAATGATGTAACTTCAGCTGGGTGTCTGACCATCTAATAATACACGAAACAAACTCATGTAGATATGAGTGATTGTTTCCTTGTTTTCCCTACTGAATGTTGGAATGTGTCTTTATCGAGAGATTTCACCTCGCTTCGAAAAGAAACGTACGATAACAAAATTGCCACACACGGACTGCCCCTTTTTACTTCGATATTCCCGCAACTCGGAATTTGATTTTTTTCCTTGTTTCATTTATTGCCAACATCGTTTGATTCTGATGACTCGCAATCTGCCCCCTGCAGAGCGTAATTATCTTATCGGAAGTGGAAAATAACTTTATTATTTATTGTTTTTTCATGTGATAGACTATATTCGAGAAAAACAATTTGCAAGCCAACGTCAGACAGGAATTCGCGAAAAATTTGCTCTATTCAAAAATTATGATTAATACACGTATTTTTTTTTAAATTCTGGTAAAAATTTTATCAAAGCCCGAATTCATATTCAGACAGAAATTCCTGTCTGCACCGATGACACCCAAAAATACTCCAGATACTGGCGCTAATAGATATCAACTCCAATACAATCCCCATCTCCTCGCAAGATTTTTTCAATTGATTCCTTTCATTGCATCATCGAAAATACGTGCACAAATGTTAATATCACAAGTAAAATTTCAGACAAAAAATTACATCTTATTCATTGATTGAGTTGATAATACCAGCACGCAACATTGCCGTGGAACTCCATCTGAGGCCAATAACTGAGGTAATCAATCTCACATTATCGGAGCCACAGGCGAGGCTCATCAAGTCAACCCATCACCTTATATTTTACCTGTTTAACTTGATAAGAAGTTTCGTTCTAGGTGAATTCTGATATCATGAAAATGGAGGAAAATACAAGATGATGTGATTAATTATCAGTCTGGGGGTTAATTTCCAGAATTATAATTACCCTGTAGTTGTAAAAATGGGGAGTCTATGGCTGTGTGTGTCTCAGTTTCCGCGAATTTTCCCTCCTCGTGAATACTGGGTCAGATTAAAGGTCAATTAACTAGTTTGCCATCCAGTCAATACCAGATTAATTAACTAGAAACAGATTCTCTCGCTCTCTAATTGCCGAATGTATAGCTGTACATCGGATATATGCGCTTCGGATATAACCATCACTTTGATATATGGGATTATGCCTTTGTATCCCACTATTCAATTCAGTCTCAAGTTTTTGGGTCACTGTGCGGATCGATGAGTCTTTTCTAACACATTTTCTCGCAGTTATTTCCTTCTTTGCTGTTTTCCTTTCACCAACACCGCAGTCTACAATGCATACACCCACTGCATATGATGCCGATAAAACAATAAAACATAATAATAATGCCTAGTGTTGATGTGATACCTCTTGTGCCCGGCACCTCTGATTTTTTTTCCTTCATTTTTTTCTTGTTCACGTAGACTGCGAGGCACCTGACCTTTTAATTTTTTTCATTCGATTTCTGGGGTGGAATTTTTTTATTTGAAAATACGGAATTACCATACGTGAATAACAGTGTTGGAAAAAATTTTCATTTCATGAACAGGTCGCTAGTAATTTTTATGAGGGTAAGATTGAATTTCATTCAGGGGGAAAATCATCAAATTTTAGACTTCACTGAAATTTCAATTTTTTAGCAATAAGAAGACGAGAATTCCGTAAATTATGCGGAATTCTTAACTAATTGAAAATTGAAGAATATATTTATTCAATTTTTTTTTATTTCTGTTAATTTTTATGGAATAATTCAACGCAAATTCCAGCTGTGAATAACAGAAGAGGAAAAACTTCAGTTTTCATGAATCTTGGAATAAAATATACTTGAATTTAGTATATTTTATACTCAATTCAGGTTTTTTTTCGTGATATATCCGTAATGTTGTACACGAACATTTGGATTGATTCATCAAGCTATTAGACATAATTAAGGAAAAAACCGATTTGTTGCATTGAGCAACTCCAGTGCCACATGGCATCACACGTATTATAATGATAATCACCTCGAATTCTTTTCTGATTTTATTTCTATTCGTATCAGCGTGGGGTCCCAGTTCACCAGCTCTTAACCAGTTTGCACTGGCACTTTCCTCCGATAAATTTCAGATCTCCTACTTCCCCATTACGTCCAGTGCTTCTCGGGTCCATCGCGGACCGGTTTATTGGCGATAGCCTCTGCGTATTGTTTACGAAACTGCATTATACTGATTATCCCAATAATAGCCGATTTTTCTTACAATTTCCTATTCATTACAGGATATGACACGTTGAGAGTGAATTATTATTTCGGGAGTTATCTCTTCTTTCTTATTCGTCAAGTATCACAGGCGTGTCGTAATAATCGACCCCCGCATGGAAACGTCGAATAATATTTTCATTTTCAGTCGAGAGACATTTACACGGAGGGAAAAATGATTGGGGGCATCATCATTTTTCTGATGCTATACAATTAATTTATTTATGATCAATTTAATTAATTTATTAATTCATTAATAATTTTTCCAAATGTGCCGATTGCGACTCGTTTATGATGCTTACCTCATGAAGGTAAGAAACACTGAGGTTTTCTTCGAACAAAGTTGATTACAATTAATAGCTAGAATTATGAGACTGTCTCACATTTTTGACGTTAAGGATAGGAGAATCTGAATGCAATACGGTGAAAATGATGATCGATTTTTTCACTTTGAACAGATAATTTTAATATCCAAATACAAAATTTCTGATATGAATAAAAAGAAGCTGTGACTCAATATTCTAACCACGGAATTATATTGATGAGATGAACAACAGATTAATTGAATTACCGTGTGAACTACCTAAAAATTGATAACAGTGTGGGCACCCATTTTCCCAGAGTATCAACAGACATTGAATTTCAGAAATTCACACTCTGAAGTGTGTTCTAGAAGGGATTGAATTGTAATTGAGATTAAAATCTTATTCAGAAAGCATAGGAATTAGAAATGAACTAATCATTTATCGTAATATGAAAATTGAACAGCTGATAAATTGAGACATATAATTTCTCATGGATCGTACTGTCTTTCGCAATGAAAATGATTATAAACAATTAATTTAAAAAAAATATATCAAATCTGACAGGAAGAAAGGGCAAGAATGAAAGGACATCAAAGGATGCCGCCATTTTCTAGAAAAATTTTCTCTGTGCATAAAACACTATTCACATTCACCTTACCTATGTTCGATACGATCCTGCAACTGAAACTCGATTTTGCACCTTTCTCCGAACGAAATTTCACCCTCCAATTCTCGTCCAATATAAAACCACCGAATTCAGTTATTTCAGAAACGACGTCACTGATGTACAATCCTCTATTTCGAAAACCATCAGACCTTTAAATTTGTATGCAATATCGTCCGACTTTAATAGCATTATCAATTCATTCTTTTTCCCTTTTGCGGGAAAAAAATTGATTGTGTGTCGATCACAGAGGTACCCCTTTTATATATATATATATATATATATATATATATATATATATATCCATTTTTGTTACAATATCTCTGTTGGATATCGCTGCACACGTCCTACCTCTATTTGAGTTGGAAATTTCCACATGTTTTGTTTTTCTCTTTTTCCACGAAAATTTATTCACCACATAGCACCGGGAAAACAGACAACCTCGGAGGTTTAGAGGTATTTCCAGAGACAAAATGCCGAGTCGTAAAACCGAATCCCCTGTGTTAATTAAACATGTTCGATGGCATTAGTAGCCTCTCTCTATGTCACCTCAGGGAATCTCCTCTGCCGAGAAAGTTTGGCACGTTTCTGAGCGCATAATCATTGCCAAAGGGATTTACACTCCTGCACTTGACGCAGTTGCCATTAATTCTGGATTTGTCTCATTTACCGCATGCTCTGATTTCCTTCCAAACGAGATTTTTGTTTTCATTCGCTCGTGGAAATAAAATACTCGGTGAGGGATAACACTGAGAGAAAAAATTAATGGGCGTTTATCTCATTACACGGAGAGAACAGTTGGATAGAATTACCTGGAAAATCGATGCAAACTTTACGGATAAATAGAATTCGATGAAAAAATATCTGTTTGTGGAGGATATTTTATGATTCGTTCGGTAAAAAAAAACACATCAATGAATGCAAAAATTATCCGTCTGTCCGAGCTTTCTAATGACTTCTGGAAATCATTGGAATTCATTGATGAAAGTGAAACACAAATTTTTTATTCGAGCTCACTCATACGATCCCGTCTGCCCCTCATGACCTTCTTATGCACATGTCATTGGAGTCTTACTATCACATCTATCCCGTATGCGATTATCGACAGGTGGCCCAGCAGTTTGGCTCCAAAATCATGATTTTTCGAGTGATGTCTTGAAATAAAAAAATATTAAAATCTACTAGAAATCACAGAAATCAATATCAATATCAATATTCGATAAAAATTACTTATCTGTTCCGTAATTCCGGAGCGAAATGGGACATGTCTTTTACTCGAGTGAATTGCCAGCTGCGGCAGCTTCCTAATGCCAAGGCTCAACGAACGACAGACAGGAGACTAGCCGTTTATCCCCTCATATCAGTGTAAAAGTGGGAAATATGGGATGAATTGATCAGAGAACGAGTTCAATATTGATTTTAAAAAATGAGTGAGAAACTGTACTTTTTATGGAGAAAAATGAAGATTAGAGAACAATTTCGCATGCGATATAAGTGTACAATTAGATATGAAATATCGTATACCAAGAGAAAAACTTCCAATGTCTCGGGCACGCTCTTCGATTATTGAATTTTACCTTGTTCGACACCTCCAGACAGCTGCCAATGCCGTGTACCGTAGTGCTGATTGGAGGGGTTGGTGGCGCAAACTAAGGGAACTAATCACCAAAGGTAGCCAACTGTTTTCCTTCAGTATTTCAGAAAAGTTGAATTTCCGTCGTTTTCGGGAGGTCGGGGCTGTACTTATGATTGAAGAAAAATGTTACACGAATGCAGCTCAAAATAGTTCAAGTTATTAAATTTGTTTTCACTTGGTTACTTACCACAAACCGTCTTTTTCCGTTTTACCCTCATTCCCAGGTCCGAAGAAATTGTGAAAAATTGCTTTTGTCGCAACATCGTCAGTATATTTTTTTAAATAAATGAGCAATTTTCTTCCACATTGAATTTTTGGAACGATGTATTTTAAATTGAATTCAATGATTCATGGAATCCAACATTGCCCCAATGTTAACAGCCAACATTGGCCCAACATTCCCCCGACTTAAAAATTTCTTACATTTCTTTGAATATTAAGTTCACACTAAATTTTTGCAACAATAGATGATGCAAATTTTCCAAGTTTTTCGCTTGAATTTTTCAATTACAGAAGAAAAAAAATGCAGTCAATGAAGTTTCCAAATTTAATGCCGAAGAATAGAATCAATAGAATAATTTTTATCGAAAGACTAATCTATTGATTTTTTCGAGAAGATATTTTATTAAATAATTTCAAGGCCAGGGTATCGATGACATTCAATCTTTATTCAATTTCTCCTTTGCTGCCAAATATCTCGTACACAAAAATTTTCATACCCCTCGGGGCTTATAAACTACTCGTTTAAAGTCTAATCATATGGAGGCTTAAAGACAATTCACCAACAGTTTTCAACCTTTTATTAATAATGAATTTATTCCGCAATGTTACAAAGGAAGTTGCATTTTCAGGACAATTGCACTCAATGTCCTGGGGCATACTCAATATGACGTTTATAAAACTTGAAATATTTTTCACTAGAATCAATTGCACTTTCTTTAAAAATAATCGGCTCTTGCGTTATTCTAGTTTATGAATCCATTGCTGACATTCTGGACATGAATGAAATTATGTTTAATTTTTTATTCTTGAACGAAGTAAAATTTCTACTAAAATAGAAAAGTGGAGAAATGGTTCATTTGAATAGCGTCTAATGAAAACTTTATTCAAACATGAATGTGATTTTTATTTGCGTTTTTATTGACATCATACTTACGGTAAATGAATTCGTAGAATGAAAAAAAACACCAACTCATGTAGATTTAACTCATCAAATAAATAATTAAATACTACTTCATCTTTCATCCCATTGAAATGAAATATCAAATGTCTACTTTATTTCAATTTCCGAAAGACAACTAAATAAATACTATTTGATCGCCTGAAATAGTCGCCTCGAAATGCCTATTTGAAATGGTATTCCCTCGTGCCGGACTATATGAAATAGTATTTCCACTTGATTTTCACAAAATCGTGCCCAACTCTGGAATGAACACGTGAGAGGTAGCTCCACGTGCACACACGTAATACATATAACAGCATGATCGATGCATTCAATACTGGTTGTGTCTCAGAGTCGAGTTGTGTTAGTGGTATCAGTTCGTAAATTCTCACTTCTCGTGGCTCTATCTCCTAGGTCACTCAGCGGCAAATCGGCTGTGATGCCGATGAATGAATTTCACGAGCTCTTGACAAATGTACTTTGTCTTGTAATTGTGTGTGTTGTGCACGGGCTGTCATGGGCTGAACTGAGTCTTATCACAGAGCTGTGAGGCATGTTGGCTGTGTGGCCATTCTCAAGACGAGCAACATCCCCAGGGGCATAGCCCCTACCGAGGCCACGTCCTGGGCCACGGCTGTGACAGGCGAATAACTCTCTCATTGCTTTGCGAAAATTTCGGGATAGAAATGCATACAGCAGGGGATTCAGGCACGAGTTCATGTAGGATATGAGTTGTACTGAAACCGTGAAGATTGTACTGAAGTGGGAGTTTGGTTTGTAAGTCGAGGTCCAGTGGAGCCACAACATACGAGCTTGTTGGGGCAGATTGCAGACCGCAAACATTACCACCACTGCGATCAGCATTCTGCAATTGATGAAAATTTATTTCATTGGGCATTACAGAGATCGATAAGTCACTCATCTCAAATGGGAGACTCCTCGCCACTGACAATTAGAGAAAAGCCCTGCATTCACTATTTACTGGTCTGGCAGGGCTCCGGGGGAATTTTTAGTGGGTGAACAGACAAAAGTTATCGATAATCAATTGACGCGAGGGGAGGGTGCTGATAATTAGAGTGAATACTCTGAATTTTGACTGAATTGTAATTTCTTTTCGTAGACGTTTTTTTGTCTGAAATTTCCGGTACACTTTTCGGAAATGTCTAGCGTATTTTTGTAGCACTGAAATTTCGAGGAATTTTGTCATGTAATATTTGGAATTTCATGGAAAATCGGAGAGAACTGAATTTCAGGTGAATTGTTCCCTGAAGATTAGTGGAAATCAGGAAAATTCCGGTAAATATATTGTTGAGTTTTCAAGGAAATCTGAAATTCCGTGATTTTTCCCCCTTGAGGATATCCAAGTACTCTGGCTGTTTTTTCTCTAATGAAATTATTTTGTACTTTTGTAGTCGAACATCGGAGCTTTCATTTGAGCCCCATTTGACCCTAAGTTTCCGGACGTTTCAATACTGCAAGTTTAAACAATTTCAATTATTTATATGTGATATTTTGCACAGAATTATTTTTTTACATAATCCTAATTTATAAAGATTTATTCATAATATAAATAAATAAATATAATTTTTATATAATATTATATTATTATTATACATATTAATAATAATAATAATACATATTAATACAATACAATATTATACAATACAATATTATACATATTAATAATAGTAAATTAATTAAATAATTATTGCAAAAAAATTTGCAATAATTACGTAATTATTAATAACTTACATAAATTATTAATAATAAGGTTATAAATATTTATTTATAACCTAGGATTATTAAAAAAATATATAATTCTGTGTAAAATATCATTTGAATGACACTTCAATTGACGAATTTAGTGATTGACAATGATTGAATCTAAAGTGTGATCTATACGAAGCTGTGAGCCATACTTGGATATCCTTAAAAGTTCAAACGAAATCATTATTACTTTGAATTTAATTGCAGTGAAATTGTCTCTATAACAACGCTCACCTGATAACCCCTCTCCTCGCCCTGAGAACATTTTTACTCGAGGCATGAACATGATGAACCCTTCCATTCCTCGTTCTGGCGACCAATCCAGGGCCGCTGAATGCAGCACTACTCTTCCAAAGTGCAACAGCAATTCTCGTGTAGAGGCATGACATGAGAACAAGGGGTATCAGATAGAGCAGTATTAAATTGACAGCGTCGAGGACATTTTTGTTGTGCTTCTTGATATTCGCCATGCAGATGATATCGACAACCCCGGAGTTGAGCTCGTGGTGGTACGTCTCGACGTAGATAAATCTGGGGGATGCGTACACAGCAGCTAGTATCCAAACAACAGCCACAATGACCCTCAACCGTCCCCTGGTGAGCATTGATCTGCACTTTATGGGGTGAATGATGGCCAGATATCGTTCGACGCAGACCAAGACAAGGATCATTATGCTTGCGGTGTAGGACAGGGCAGTTACGAACATATAGGCCTTGCAGAGGAAATCACCCAGCCTCCAGCTGTTCATCAGGTAATTTATCAGTGTCTGGTAGACGCAGAAGACGCCGACGCACAAGTCGGCGAGGGCTAAATTTGCGAGGAAGAAGTTTGTGATTCCTCGCATTCGGCGGGAGTACATTACTACCAGGATGACGAGTAAATTTCCTGGAAATTGAGACATGAAATTTTGTTAATTACCGTGATTTTCTAAACGCTAAACTCTAACTCTTTTCGCGGGGAAATGGAACATTCACGCGAAACGAAGAAATCTTGTTTTTACAAAATTTATACGGATGAAAATTTTTTGAAAAAACGAGCGAATTCGCTGGATAATTCAAAAGAATTCAATTTTTGTCAAAGTCAAAAAAATTTCTTCGGGTCAATTTTTCTAATTTTTTTTGTTCGATTTTTTTGATGAAAAAAAAAACAGTTAAATCATGCTGAGTTTTTTTAATTCAATGACGCTGAATATTCACGACGTATTTCGAATTTTTCTCACACAATTTAATTGACATATTTGACGATTGCAAGTATCTTTTAATTGACAAATTTGACGGTATCGCAATTTTTCACAGGAGATTCAGATAAAAATTACGAAACACTCTGGAAAAATTCCGTGACAGTTCCGTAAAATTTTCCACAACCACATTTCACTCCGGAATTACGGAAAAGATACGTAATTTTTATTGAACATTTATCTCCGTGTATAATTTGTGAAATTAACAGAGGGAAAAGCATAAAATAATTTCTCAAATTCTCTCCAACCTCACCCCTGTTCCAAAATTAGAAAGAGAGAAAAATCAATTGTGACGTAATGCAGTGCCAAAGCCCTGACCCGAGAGAGGGGTTTTTTGTTCTCGATAAAGGAATTCTAACAATGCCTACATTTACGTCAACACAAATGTGGGCGTCGCGTCCCGCAAAGGTACCGAGCTTACAGCTTTTGCTCTTCTCGATGCAAAGGCACTATTGATTACTCGAGTGTTCCATTCGAATAAAGACTGATAACATCAAGATGAATAATGTTAAGCCTCTTTTGCATTGGATACGACATTGATAATCGATACGAATTATTTTCCACTCGTCCTTGCCCGTGATTTCGAACCATTGCAGAGAGCGCCTCAGCGTCAACATTCTCAAAACGGTCAAGTACCCTCTGCCTATTTAACCTTTAGCTCTCCGATTCTCCGGACTTTCTTCCCTCAATTCTTCTTCTTTTCACCGTCGACAAATGGGACCGAATGCACTGAGAATAAATAATAAAAGAGGTATAGAATGATCCACCTCCTCGCGGATAATTGACGGTTACCGTTGAATTCACGACGAGTGGATTTTGCCAAATTGGACGGCAATACGATCGGCCATTCTCTCGACAAAAGTTTATCTCGAGTCTCCAATTTCGTTGGTATTGCGAAACCACCTACTATTTCCCTTAACCTTCCATGCATTGTGGTGGACTTTGTCAATATGTTCCTGTGTACTCTGTATTCGCGCTGAGCTGCGCTATACGGAGAGAAAAGTTGGGGAACAATTATGGTGATTATTTTTCTCACTCGGATTTCAGCCAATCAGAGCGCAGCATTTGAGGCTATCAAACAGTTTTATTTCGGAAAACTTTCACGTTTAATATTTTGTGTGACAGATAAACAAAAAAGTTGGTTGTAAATGTATGGATGTGTAAATGTATCCGGATGCTGCTCACTGCACTCTGCTTGGCCGAAATTCGAGTGGAAAAATAATCCGTCAAATACCACTCGTGCTTCAAAATTAATCGGATATTTTCCGATAGTTTCCCTGCCTAGGAGCGAGTGGAAAAATTGCCAGTGTGTCAAATTTTAAAATCCCGAGTGCGAAGCTCGAGGGAATTTTTTGCAAAATTTGACGTAATCGTTTCTAGGCGACGAAGCTATCGGAAAATATCCGATAATTTTAAAGCACTACCTCTTAAAAATTCTTGAAATTCCAGAAATTTTTGAAAAAATTCCCTGAAAATTTAGAGGAATCTCGAATTTCCGAAGAGATTGCTCTGAATATTCCTGACTTTTCACTAATTTCCCCGAAATACTTCAATTAAAATTTACAGTTTCCACGGATTTTTCCCTGAAATTATGAATTTTCAATGACAAAATTCCTTGAAATTTCAGCGGAACTGTAACTTGTTAGAAATTTCCAAGACTCCCACCCGAAATTTCAGTGGAAAATTTTTAACACTGTGCGGCATCTTCCTACCTGTACATAATTACTATTAATTGGCTTCGGCAGCCTCAATAAATTTTTCCAGCGGTAGTTCTTCTCGCAATTATCTCCATTCATTAACGACTATTCATCAATATTAACTACAGCTGAAACCTTTTTATTTCAGAGATTAATTTAAGTGGGAACAAATGCTGGAAGCCAGTGGGACGAACGAAAAACGCAGCGATGAATTGAAAGCTGTGAATCGAAGAGGCTTTTGAATCCCTGAATTGAGTTCTCTCATCGGTAATTAAGAAATGAGAAATGAAAATTAATCGATAGGCATGGTAATTACCCGTCAAAGGCGTTGCCCCCATTTTTCGTGATTTTTTTTCCGATAGATCTGTCATGATTTAATGATGCACGTGACAAAGACAACGAGGGATAACGTCATTACTCCCCCTTTCTTCAGTGAACGAGTAATGAATAGCATTACGAGGATCTAGGGGAGGTTCTCGAGTTATTTTGGAGGGTGCGCCATTGAATTAAATCGCGACAGTTTTTTCTCGTCATAAAGAGATGATGTGTCTCGAGTGGATAATCATGCATGAAAAATTCAGTGAGATCGTGTCGTCACAGTTCTCTAGTTACTTTAGTAATAATTTTACATTTTTACGGGACAGGGCGGGCTTTTGTGCGATACATAAAGTGAATAATAATTCGTCGGTCTAATCTCGCTATTTTGATGAGGAGGAATTGAAGAAAAAAGTAGGGGAAATGCTAGTTTTTAGGAAATCAGGTGGAAAATGAAACGTCGTGAGAATTTTTGGCTTAATGACGGATTGAAATGTTGATGAAATTCAATCTTTTTTTTTTCGATACAAGAACAATTCTTTCTCTTCGTCAATCAAAAAAATCTAATGACACAATACGCCCAATAGATTGGTTTCAAAAAACGAAACACTGGATTTTTTATTAAAGGAACCGACCAGAAAGCTCCCATTCGGAAGCAAAAAAATATTAAATTCCGTCGAATCATTAGCGAACAATAAAAAAAACTGCGTCATATACATCCCCAGGGAATATGCCTGAGAAGAAAATCCTCATCCCCCCCTGACTCACCGAGCCAAGACATGAGGAGGCTGTTGACTGTACACGTTTATTACTTTCTATCTCTGTTATTATCTCCACGAGGCTCTCCACGCGCTCTATCCCTCCTTGATGCGGTTACCCAGCATCACCGCTAATTTCTCATCAACTTTTTACCCCACCGACCTCCACCAATTACCAAATTAACGAAGATTAAAATGAAAAAAAAAAACCCACATGCTCTTTTTCCCCCTGTCTTTCTCCCGTTTGTTGGTTTGAAACTTTTCTCGGAAAGACCCGAGAGTGGAGTGATTTATAACGTCACTTTGTTCTCCAATTATTTTTTCAGCAAAGTCCCACCGTGAATGTTAATTAAAACTTGGCCAAGAAAAACACTTCCCTCGGATCTCCTTCGTCTCGAAGACATTGCGTCCTTTACAAGATGAGTTTGTCTTATTTAATTCATTAGAGGCGCAACAAGGGAGGACGTTCCACCGAAATGGAGATCGCATTTCGAGAGATGCAATCATGCAGAATACAGGGATTCCTCCATTCTTCATGGATGCTGTGTCGATGTTGCTGTGCACTGAAAAGTACACCTCAGCGCCATCACTCTGAGCGCAAGAGATTCAATTACAGCGACCATGTAACAACTGTAACTGTTTCAAAGTATTCGTATGAAGCCTCTATCTCGGTGCCTCGGAGAGGCTATTTATTTTCCGTTGTGAAAAAAGTTTTGCAATTTTTCGAACGAGTATGCGCGCATTGTTGACGTTGTCATCGAGAGAAGGTAAACGAAACGGAAAATGCTGTTCGTCGTTGGAGTTTTCGTCAACTCCGTGCATTCATCAAATTGTTCATCGCCAATTTTTTATGTAAACAGAGATATGAACGAATAGTTGAATTAATACATGCACGGAGAGAAATTTTTTAGAAAAATTCTAGTGCTAGCACGGGAAAAGAGGCGCAAAGTGACGGCCAGGAAAAAATTCCATTGCCGGGACTAGAAATTTTATTGGGGAAAAGGTGAATTTTTCCCCGCATTTCTGTGAAAATGTTACCAGAAATACCAAGAAATTTTACCTTAACAGCACTATAGAATTTTTCACAGCCGGTGGATTGTGATTTTTTCCAGTACTCGTACTAGAATTTTTCTAGAAAATTTCTCTCCGTGTGATGTTTCTACAAGGGTTCGGATGAGTTTATTTTATATTCAAGTTGTTTTGAATCTTGATGTGACCCATATGACCCTTGTGAAGTCTGAATTTTTAATTAATTCACACTTCAAGAAGATATTTGCTGAAACTCCCCGATTTCTTATAATTTTCGTGGAATAATTGAACTGGAATTCACAGTTTCGATTGATTTTTTCTGTAAAATTTTGAATTTTCATACACAAAATTGTCTAAAATCTCAATGGAAGTATAATGTGACGAAAATTTCCAACAATTGCAACACGCTGTTAGAGATAAACTTACCTACAACGGACAGCTGCAATATTGAAAATAATAGTGCTTTGATCAATGTTCGTCTGAGGATTCAATTACTCAAAAAATCACCTCCCTAATAATTACATTCATCAGAGCTGTTTGGTGACAGTACAATGAAAAAGTTGAGATGATGATAATTACTGAGCTTAATTGAAATTAGCCGGTAATAGATGGGAGAAAGAAGAAGCTCGATCGTGCTGTCTAAAGTAGATGAAACTTCGATAAGGGACACGAGGAGTGCGACTTTAGATCTTGCCGGCAGGAACTTCAGTAAAACACCCTTCAGTCAAGTACAATTACCAGTTTTCATGAAAATTTCAAGGATATTCATGGATGAAATTTAATTACATTGCAATTAAAAGTATTTTAAATTAAGAAGTTGATGTAATGCTGAGGGAATTTGTTTTTTCG